GTGGCCGCCGCCGCCGTGGCCGCGTTGTCGCAGCTCCAGGGCGACATCCCGATGCGCGCGGCGGCGGCGGCAGCGGCGCTGCCCGGGAAGATCGGCGTGGTGATGCGCGCGATCTTGGCCGCCTGCGGGAAGGCGCCGCCGCCGCTCTTGTAGAAGGAGGAGGCGAACGAGCGGTAGCGCTCCATCTCCGAGTTGTAATCCACCAAGCTGCCGAGCGCGCCCTCGGGCAGGTGGCTCTCCTTGGGCAGCCCCGGCGCCTCGGGGCCCGGCCCCGGCTCCACGCAGACGTTGGTGTTCATGGTGCAGGGCGGGAAGAAGGGGTGCAGGGTGGAGGTGGGCGCCGCGGGGGCGCGGGGAGGGAGGGAGGGAGGGATGGGGGCGCGGGCCGGGGTCCGGCGGCGGCGGCTTAGTCCTCTCGGGGGCGCATTTCCACGCACGGAGAATCCCCAGGCAGCGTCCTCCTGCGCATTATCCTCCAACTGTTACAACTAAAATAAAGAGAGTCATTGCAACCCGCTGCACGAGGCGAGAGATTCCGCACCAATGCACAGCCTCCCCCGCCCGCCGCGCCGCCCGGGGCCCCCGCAGGCCAGGCCGGGTCGTTTGCATCACAATCCGGGCGACGCGCCCCCTCCCCGGGTCCCCGCGCTCCCGGCCCCCTCCCTCCGCCGCCGCGAACCGCAGCTCCTCCCCCTGCTCTCCCTGCTAGCCCTCCGGAGAAAATGCATTAATAGCCCGGACGCCCGGGGACGGGGACGGCGGGCGACAACCGCCGAGGGAAAAGGGCAATTGGAGTGCTAAAGACATGCAAATCGGGGGCGGCAGGGCGGTACTACCTAGAAGCAGAGGGCATCTAAACATGATGAAATGTGTGAACCAGGGCTGCCTGAGCATGCACAAGCTGTAAAGTAGGAAGCAGCGAGGGCCCTAAGAGGGAAATGAACAGGAAATTAGCAAATGAAGTCCTGGGAAAGTCTACAATGTATCCGAGGATCAACTGCGAGCGAGCACAATGCCACGCAGGACTCGGAGCCTGCCCGCGTCCGAGCCGCACTAAAGAGGCGAGGAGAAAGGAACGACCAGCTGCCACAGTGTCCTTCTGTGTCTGCGGTCATTAGTTTGAATCCCAGCACAGCTGGCTCTGTTAGGGTCTTAATTCAATGGACCAAGGACGGGTCTCAATTGTAGGAGCCATTTGGTGGTGGGGGGTGAGAGGGTGGTGTTTTACTTGTTTCAAAGAAAGGACGAAGAGAAAGATGGACTGGATAATTTTTAAAAATGCAAGCAATGCCTCAGGCTTTTCTTCAGAGCCTACAGCCTCGGCCAGGATATTCCCAATCCTTCCTAATGGAGACTGCTGTCTCTTCCAAGTCCAGAGGAAAGCGTGAGACTTTTGTTTTGTTTTGTTTTGTTTCTGATTTTGTTTTTAAGGATCTCTCACATCACTGAATTTACATGGAGTAAAGGCAGGTGGGGGGGTCCCCTTAAGGAATCCTTTACCCAAAGGAACAACCATCAGGATGATTCCTTTTTGCTCTTTTCAGAGAAAAGTTTAATGATAACTAGGTATTTGCATTCATCTCTGCTTACAGGCCATTACTATGCTTTAGGAAGAGGGATTTTAGTTGCTTATGACAGAGGGGGAGGGACATTCCAGCCTTCTGAGAAATAAAGCCAGGACACCAAGTGCATATCCACCTAAAAACCAGTTTCTTTGTTTCCAGACTTCTTTTTTGCCAGAGTATCTTTTTGTGACATCTTCTGAAGCCCTCAGATTGGTCTAGAAGGTGGAGTTGAGGGAATTCTAAATGGGGGCCCAGGAGCCTCAGCCTCAAATATTTAGAGTTGAAAATGGATATCAATTATAGTAATTACACTTATAATTAGACTAATGAACCATTGATGCCCAAACTCCAAGTGCAAAAACTTAAAGACCTACTGATGAGGCGCCCTAAAAAGAGGGGTTTATGTAAACAAATCCCTGTTAGGCAAAGTAAATGGAGATAAGGCACCTCTCCCCCGCAGGCTGGATTAGAAGGTAACAGACGCCTTTCAATCACAGCAAGTCCCTAATCACTCAGAGCCACCTCTGTGGTTTCGCATTAGGGAAAACTGCTCCCTTCTGAGGTCTGATGACAATACAAAGGGTGCCCCCCAAACGCGCCCGGTTAAATATTCTCAACGCTGGCAAGGGGCTGGGGGGAGGCGCAGCAAGCATATGCATATAGCTTCAGTTTCCGCAAATCACATTGTAGCTGCACAAGACCATAATAACTGCTACTCAGGAAAACTAGTTATGTCAACCATGCAGTAGATAGCGGCACGCTGAGCAGAGCGGAATTTTTTCAGTATTTCAAGCTTCTGACCTTGTTCCAAATAAAGAAATAATTCACCGTCCCTTCCTCGGAGCCTCAGACTGGTGATTCCAGACAGAACCCCTCTGGCTGGACTGACGCCGCCCCCTCCCCTTCAGGGTTTAAGGCCATCGGGAGCTGGAAGAAAGATCCGTGCCCCGACTCCGGTCATCATTGTTTAATCAGTGCATCTCCGGAGCACGGAAAAGGTACCTAAGGCACAGCTATTGTTTGGATTTTTATTTAAAAACAAGATAAAACACACACACCAATGGCTGTAGTTGTACAGAAAGGCTCAGTCAGACATCCACACTTGACGACGCTGCTTCGCCTTTAAACAATGTGACCGTGTTGGAGTCTGGGTTCCCGAGACACAGGGATCAAAGGTCATATTGAACCTTCAGGGGGAGGGGCGGGCGCAGATCAATTAATAAATTCGTACAGCCGCGATTTGCACTGCTGGCGTCCAGCACGAATAATCTACTTTCATAATCCCAACGGACAGCAAACATTTAAGAGAAAGAAAAAACAAAAATAAATAAATAAAAGAAGAGAAGGAAAGCCAGAGAGCGAAAAGAACAATCACTTACCAGTCTCTTTTTATTTGGGGAGCCTTAGAATTTGCAGACGCGGCCAGTCTGCCTTAATTAGTCGCACATCACCCCTAACACAAAGAAACACAAATCCGGGCGCCTCGGCGGCTCCCAGTGACAACTTTAATACTTGTAAACAAACTGTTGGGGAGGGGAAGGGGGTAAATAAATATGCGGATCAAAAAAATACCTGTAAATGGCTTATTTTTTTTTCTGGTTGCGGAGAGGAGGAGGAGGAGGAGACGGCGTGGCGCAGGGGGCGGAAGGAGGCGGCGCGGAGCGGCGGTGTCTGCGCCCGGCCGGTCGGCGGCCGTGTGCGCGGGAGGCGGCGCGGGACTCTCCTGCCTCTTCCTCCCGCTCCCGCCCT